AATTAAGCAAAAAAGTTATTACACAATATACCAAGACCATGATACAGAGTCCACTCTAGCACATTTTACTTCTATAATTATTGCACAAATCCTGGAGTCATGTTACTTAGCTACACTACAGGCAATATGAGATAAATTCTTTAGGCTACCACTATGTAAGTTATCAAACTGTGGTCAACAGAGCACTTGTTGATTATCTGTAGGCAGATAGTTGTTTTCCAAGGGTATGTGCTCTTCCTTTCCAGTGGCTTTATTGCTTTTTAAAAGACAGCTATTACATAGCTTTCTAATAATACTTCATGTAAACAGCTGCCATGAACAAGTAAAATTGTGAATAGGAGGGCAGCTAGACTATGCAATCACCTCTGTTTTAAGTTTTGTCTGATACAAAGGGGTTTGAGAACTTCTGTTGTATTGCCGAGCGTAGCAAAGGAACCTGCAGTATGTATGACAGGGGTATATTTCAACATATAAGTACCCAAAAGGAGATCAAACAAACATTCCCAAAAATCTATTTTAAGAATGTAGCAGTATACATGACTGCACCTGCATATACATAATAAAGAATTAGTTTAAATTAAATATAACAGGGACATTTTTCCTCAATAATAACCAAGTTTTGGATTTTCCTTTCCTACAGGTAATAGCTGAAATGGTCTTACTGGAATTTGAGGAAAAACTAGACAGTTACTTGGATACCAGTTATCTCAAGATATGAATGTGATTAGATGCTTAAGTATGACAAGTCTTGTTAACAAACTTTGAAGTGATTGTCAAATACTTATCCACTGGACATTTTCTTTTAACTTCTTCAGAAATGTTGAGCAATAATCATACATTAAAATAAAGTGGACTATAAGTAATTACAGTAAACTTCTGATAATTCGGCACCTTTAGGACCCAGGGGGTGCCGGATTATCAGATATGCCGGACTATTGGAAGGGGGGGGCTATGAAGGGTCTGAGGTGGGGTGGGATGGGATGGGATGGGGGATGCCACCCCAGACCCCTCATAGCCCCCCCTTCTGATAGTCCGGCTCTGCCCCAGGCGTCCACGATTCAGCTGCTGCTGCTCAGTTTCTGGCAGATGTTCCAAGTGAGGCACTAGCTTCAAATAATTGTCAAAGTTGTGATTTGCCAATAAGGCAGAGTAGTTGGCCATCCAGAGTGCTAATGTGGCCGATGAGTATACCTTACGTCCAAATAGGTCTAAGCGTTTACTGTCCCTGTCCGTGATCGTGTTCTTGTATTGGGGGGCTTTGGCCCTCTGAGCAGCATTGACTACTAGCAAATTTGGATGCAGATGTGTAAAAAGGAAATCTGTTCCCTGAGGGTATGTTTACACCTGCACCCTAGTTCGAACTAGGGATGCAAATGCAGGCATTCAAAATAGTCAATGAAGCGGGGATTTAAATATCCCATGCTTCATTAGCATGATCTCGCTGGCGCACTAGTTCGAATCACAGCTGATTCGTACCAGGAACGTATTAGTTCGAACCAAACCCCTTGGTTCGAACTAACGTTACTCCTTCTCAGAGGTGGGCACTGACTCCCTGCATGAGCCACATTTCTTGAATCCGCGAGACCCCCATATACTGAAGTGATGCATTTTTTTTTTAAACGAACTGCAGACAAATAACTATTAGAACTACTACTAAAAACTAACGAACTTTTGTTTGCTGACAGGAAAAACCTGAGGAGGGGTAGCTCGTTCCGCCTGCGACCAAGGACAGTTAGGAGGAACTGGCGGGAGCTGGACTGCGCACGATCAGAAGCGGCGCAAAAGGCACGAGATGCCAGACACGCATGCGCGGTCTGGCAGACTACTGTTGACAATTGTCCGACCTGCGGTACCGGGATGAGCCCGACACCTACAGTGGAGCACCCACAGGGACACTGTTCAAAGAAGAAGAAAAGCCTCTTTCAAAAGAGGCTTGTAGTCTAGACGTAGCCATAAAGTAATAGAGAGGTAGCACTGTTAGTCTGATCTTGGTAAAACAAAAAGGAAAAAAAATTATGTAGCACTTTAAAGTCTAACAAGATAGTTGATTAGGTCATGAACTTTCATGGGGCAGACCCACTTCTTCAGATCATATTCTGAAAGTGAATTGGCATGACCATATATAATAAAGTTCCATAAAGAGTGGAATTTCCAGGCAATTTTCAACATAATACAAGTCCAGAAAGATTTCAAAACTGTTGCTACAGTAACTCACTGAATCCATTCTGGTAATTCTCATCTTCTCCAGCGTGCACTGCCTCTAAAGTGACTTCCCAATGCAATTAGCTTTACTAGCAGTGCCAGAAAACAAGACACAGTATGATCTAAAAATAGCAAACTTGCCCCCATATACCTTAAATCCCTTGGAGGCCTGTGTAAAAACAAATGCTTACAAACATTTGACTGATTAATTCACTGCTAGTTCAAACCAGTTTTGACTACACAAGCAAACTATCAGTTTTATTTTACTTAAACATTTCTTGCTCATTTAAAGTTAATATGCTACTGCTTATTCCTATCTTTTCTATTTTAGGCTACTGAAGGCTGTTAAAAAAAATGAAGTCACAAAACCAGAAATGTGGTATTTCTGCTTAAACTCATTTTAAATGTGTACTGTACATCTGATTTCAAATTCTGAATGGAACTGAAATAAAGTTACTGTAACCTTGTGTATATGTAGCATTTCTTGTTTTCATCAAATGTAATGCGACTGAGTTAGGTGTTTTCCCCCTGACTTTTATAGCTGGGCTTTTACCTGTGTAAGTGCTATATCAAAGTTTTTGGTTTTCTTTTTAAAGAGAAAAAAGACAATGATTAATATCAGATGGCATCAAGTAAATGTACGGAATGACAATAGCTTTGAAAGCAAATTAAAATAGATTAATTTAGCTTACTGATCGTAGCTTTATTTCCTCAACCTTTTTCTTAAAGCATACTGTACACTTTTTTTCTACAAATTGAAATGGCATTTAAATTCAGGAGAAAAGTGGCATTTTTGGGTTGAGAACAGTAACAAGCAATGTAACTCATTAGCACTATTTAAGCTGTGAGTACCTGAAAACAGGTTTGTAAGTAAACAGTATCTGATTTATTTGACTGTCTAGTCTAGCTCATCACATTTTTTCAAAAATTAAAATATAAATCTCTTTATGAGGACCAGGACAACTAAAGAGCAAAACACTGCAGATACTCTGTTTGCTATCTCCAGTTAAGAAGAGTAAGTCAGCAACAAAGGCGAACATATGTCAAGTGTGCTAAACATTATTGAACAATGTCACACTCTTGTGAGTTCCACTACAGAGACAGCTGGGCAACGTAAGTTAAAGTTTTGGTTGGATACATGAATTAAGAACACAAAGCCTCTAACTGACCACCATCACCACCATTTGCTGTATGGAAACACTGAAAACTGACAATATTTCTAAATGTTCAGAAAGTGCATTTTTGGTGTATTGCATGTATTCTTATTCAGCGTTCATTTGGTGACTTTAAAGTACTATAATCACTGTAAAAAAAAATATCAAAGGGGTAGTCGTGTTAGTCTATAACTTTAAAAATGAGTACAGGTTGAACTTCTAAAATCCGGGATTCTCTTGTCCAGCAACATCCATTATCTGGCATGACCACAGATGTTCCTGGATGAGAAAGATCCGGGGCAGGAGAGCCAAAGTAGGGAGCACATCCCCAGCCAAGACCCGAGCCAGGAGCACAGCCCTATTGAGGCTGGCGAGGTTGGGAGAGCAGCTCCAGCTGGGGCTAGCACAGTGAGGGAGTGCAGCCCCAGCCAGGGCTGGAGGCAGCAGGGCTGGTGGCAGTCAAGAGCACAGTTCTGGCTGGGGCTGGCAGTAGAGCGCGCAGCCCTGGTTAGGCCTGGAGTCAGTGGGGCCAGCAGCTAGGCGCACAGTGCAGGCTGGCACCATGGGGGGTTGCAGCCTCAGCCAGGGTTGGAGACAGTGGGGCCAGCCCCTGTCTGTGGTTGGCACAGTGGGGGGCGCAGCCCTGGCCAGGGCTGGCAGAGTGGGGGGCTGGAGGCAGTGACAGGCAGCCAGGAGCAGAGCCCTACACCTGGGCAGGGAGGCTTGACTTCCCTTGTCCAGCAAACTCCATGGTTCGGGACCACTCAGGTCCCAAGGTCACCCAACAAGGGAGATTCAATCTGTAGTCCTGTGCAGTGCTTCCTCCAAGCTGCACAGCTGACTGGGCAGGGCTACTTAATCACCTGTGAAGCTATGCTTCCACACAGCTTAGAGGAAATACTCATCCTGTGGCACCTTTGAGACTCACAAAAATATACCGGAACAAAGCACCAACCATGGCATGCAGGTCATTATAAAAGCAGCATATCCTCAAGCGTAGCACCAGGTTGAATGTTGGTTTCACTGCCATAGTTTAATTTCATGAGATACTGCTACTGAAACTTCAGACCCCTTGGACAGCATCCCCTATGCAACCAGCTCAATAGATACTCACATCAGTAGTAATGCCTGCAGAGCTGCTTCTTCCCATAGGCCCAAGAGATCTCCTCGTGTTATTCCACGAGGAGTAACAGTTAATTCGAACTAAGGGGTTAGTTCGAATTAACGTTTAACTGCCGCGTCTAGCCGCGGGCAGTTAGTTCGGACTAAGGGGGATTTAAAAATGGCGGCGCCCAGGAACATGCAAATGAAGCCCGGGATATTTAAATCCCGGGCTTCATTTGCAACTCCGGTTGCCCTCATTTGCCTACCTAGCTCGAACTAACGAGCCAGAGTAGACATACCTGAAATAATAACTCAGGGTGTATCCAAAGAAGTGAACTATTAATGTTAAACCTAAAGATGACAAATCTAAATGTCAACATTGTTAATTTTCCTACTGATAATTTAGCAGAAATATTCAGCTAACGTAACAAATACACTCAACATATATGCATTTCATCCAGTTAGTTCTAATAGCTCCAATTAGCTATCAATATAAATTATATAATGCCATAAAAAGAATAACTGAAACATTCATAATACCTGGCTGTTTGCCCCATACCCAGCTCTCAACAATTGATTTAGCTCTACAAGTAGGTAGTGGAGTTTCCTCTTCGTCCTTCTTTTCTTTGTCATTTTGTTCTTCCTTCTTTGATCCTGCCTGGCACTCAGTACTGTCATCTAAAGAAATAAAAATGGAACCACTTAAACTGTTTTGAGAAAAAAAAATCCATCCAATTCTTTGCCCTAGAATACCTCTAACCTAGAGCCAAGAATGTCAACCTTTGTCCTCAAATTCATGGTAGTACTGTAATTAAGAAAGATTAAAGAAGAAACAAGTGCTGCTTTAGCTCCCACAGGTGCTAGGTTTCACATTTCACTAGACTACATTGTGTCTTTTTTTAACCTAGAAATACTTAAGTCACTGTTGGCAGGGATAAGTTTAGTGTAAGACAAGAGGAGGTTGCAGGGCAGGGTGTGAAAGTGAGTCTGTACTATCCCAATGCTGCACATAATGACTATTAGGGGGATTGCAGCAGAGTTCAGGAAACCTGCCCACTTTTCTCAGGGTATCTACGAGGGGGGAGGAGCATGGTCACTTACCCTTCCACCCCCCACCCGCACCCTCCAAAGCTTGGGGGACACCAAATTAGTAGGATAACAAAACTAAGATGATCTAGTGTCCTAAGAGCTGTGTCAGGGATGTCTGGGGTACACACACCTACAGAAGTCAATGCCATTACACAGCTGTTGCAAGCAAACCTTCAGTTATTGTGGCCACATGGAGTTTTCATGGATGATGGGGTTTGGAGCAATGTTCCTTGTAAGTTGAGTGCTTGGGCAGCCACTCAGGAAAGACTATGGTTAGCAGGGACCCCTAGCTGGGGGGTGTTTCTATGGGTGGCACACATGTCTTGGTGCATATAAAAATGTATTCTGCACATGGATGGAAAAAATTGAAGGGAACACTGATCTGGAGATGATAATGAGAGACAAGCAATAGCCAGGCAGGGCAGAAGCCCTTAATTGGGAGTGGCAGGACATAGCTGAGTACTCTAAAACTTATCCATTGAGTAGGAATGTGAATTTGAGAGACAGAACTGCTGCTCCAGAAACAAAGGAGGAGGAGGGAAGAGGTTAAGTACTATGCGATCATTGATGGTCAGTCAAGATTACTACAGGTTGGATCTGGCAACCTCAGTTACTACTACTCTCTGGATCTGGCAACCTCAGGACCTGACCTGTTTCCAACAAGGGGATTTGCCGAACCATGGAAGGTCCCTCCCCTAATGGCTCATACTGCCCTGATGCCCCCAGGCAAGGGCTACAGCCCATCTCTGCTGCTGCCCCAGCCCCCCAGGCTCTCTACTTGCCACCGGCTCAGCTGTTGCCAGGGCTGGCGCTCCCCAGCCGCTTGGCTCAGCAGCCGGGGCTGGAGCTCCCTGGTTGCCACTGGGGCTGGTGTTTCCTGGCTGTGAAGCTCTGGCCCCATTTTGACCCCCCCTTCCCCCCAACAGCAGCCCCTGTAGAAGCCAGGAAGCTCTGGCCCCAGCCCTCCAGCCCCGGCTACTGAGCTCCAGCCCCGGCAGCAGTCAGGGAGCTCCTCGGCTGGAGCA